TTGGAAGGCAGTTATGGCCTATTGCCTGCTAAGAGGCCACAAGCCAGCTCCCCTGACTTGGACACCTGCAGAGGTATGGGCTTCTAACACCATAATTCCTAGCAATTGACAAGCTGGTTAAGAATGTTAAGGAAATGTGAGCCACCATAGCAGAACTAGTTAAGTGTTTTTCTGGGCATTCATCTCTGAACTAGAGAATGTTAGAAACTCCAAGGTGCGTTCCCTGCAAGTATATTAGGCATCGCTACTGTATGTGATATTAAACCCACGGTCACCAACATCCACTAATGCCTGTTGAAATGCTTGACAATTTATTAACCTCTGTCCTTATTGGAGAGTGCAATTGTTCTTCTACACCTAAAATACAACCAAAAGCTCTACAGTGGGATATATTTATTTTCATTTCATAAGTAAAACGTTAGAAAAACTAATCTACATTGATCCAAATATATTTGATCCACAAAATGCCAGAAAACCATGACTTTGGAAGGCACACTTGGGCCAGAATAGAAGTCACACAATGTTTAGTTCATTTACTCCCAGGTTAAGATACAGAAAAATTCGTCCTTTGGTCCTCGTTCAAAATAAATTTGGGGTTTCCCTGCTTGATTTGTTTTGCATCTACAGTACTTCTGAACGTTTTAAATATTTTAAACTTTTCAGTGGTGTCAAGTCCCACGTAGCTGGCAAAATCAAGGAAGCAGAAATTACACAGGTTTCAGGAAGCTAGGGTAGTCCTGGGTAAAAATAGAACCTTGAACACTAAGAATCAATTCCCAGTCTCAGTTATAGTGATTTGACTAAGACAGAGTCTCTTTGAAACGCTTTCTTCCCACATCTCTCACATGTGGATTGCATTGCCTCTCCTCAGAAAAACCAAATGCGTCATTGCCCACTTTCCCACAACCTCTTGCACTGGTTGGTTGGCCACGCACTCAGCTGGGAAGATAGAGAGCTATAAAGGTCAGATTACTCTGAGCCTTCACCAGGTTGATAATGCTCCCCTGCACTGATTTGTCCTGCATACATAGGAGGCAGCCTGCCTTTCACTGGGAGAGAGACACCATTGAATCAGTGTTAATTGTGTATTGTTATTACTGAGAGTAGCTGCAACTCTCTTGAGTATCTGGCAGGACCTTTACCAGCCCCTAACTCTGAGATTCTAAGGTCTGAACCCTTTTGCATGGGAAGCCTTGAACAGTCCATACGGGTGAACTAGGAGAAACTTGTGCAGCAAAAGTCTGAATGAGTGGCTGTGCCTATACTAGCGGTCCAGAGTAATTGTGGGCTTAGATGAAACTAAGAATGCTTCTGAGTTAACTGGCACTTAAGTCTTTTGCTCAGATCCATTTTTTGTTCTCAAGAATTCCCAATGAGTTGCAATAATAAATGCTTTAATTTTTCATATGTATAATGGCAGCTGTCCAATTTTATTCTCTTTGTTTCAAGGGAGATGAGCTGGAGACTTTTACATGTCTTTGGCTAAGGATTCTAAGTTGGAAGAACAATAACCCATGGATGGGGCAGAGTGGACTAAAGTTTTTTTTTAATCCTTGCAGACAAAAATTGAAGCTATAAATTTAATAAACAAAAACATATTGGTTACATCAGATAAGCATACCATTAGTAAGAAGCTAGACAACCTATGACCTGTTGGGTCATCCTACGAGAGAAAGATAGTGAAGTCTGATGTGACCAGAATGAAGATTAAATTTTCCTGAATCGTATTGCTATTGCTTGAACTTCTATAATAAGTCAAAAATTACTTACCCAAAGAGATCAACAGAATGACCATGGGTGGCAGAAAACCAGTGGGAGCGGGAGTGATTTCTGACTTCCTGCCGGCTTACTCATTGACTTTGCTTGTGGGAAGCTGGCAGGGAGTGTCGGAAATTATGATCACGTGACCACCGCTGTCTGTAGCAGCTCAGTGGCACTGCAGCAGCCACAACTTTGCCAGTGAAACTGTGTGAAGATCCTTGAAATTTAAATTACACGGGAGTAATGGGTCCTGGATTTTGTACACATTCTTTAAATTAGCCGATTTAAGGTTATTCAAAAATTGTTGCGCTATGATGCACCGTTTCAGTTAATTGAAGGTTACAAACAGACAGGAAAGTTTTTGCAGATATATAATCAGTTTTACTCCATGTTAGGAGATTCTTAAATGTGTTCTCAGTAAAATTCTTGTTTGTGAAATCTATTTTAATAATAGATTTAATTAGATAACTTTAACAATGTAATTAGATGAGCCTTGATAGAAAGGCAGGATATAAATTGCAATAACAAATAAATGTACATACATTTATATATTTTAAGTGAATATACAAATATAAAAGGCTGTATTTATAAATATGTTAGTCCAGATTAAAGCAAATATGAAAACATCAAGTGTGTTTGAATTATGCAAGGACGTGCACAATTTCTGCTCTTAATTTTAATTGGAAATAATACTTAAATCTATTATGACGATCTGAAAGTTCCTGAGACTATAATTAGGTCTACCATATGTGAGCTGCAAAAATCCAGATGGCCATGAAATGGCAACAAAGAGTAAGAGTTTTCTGTATCTTTTTGCTACCATCTAATGCGGGTTCCTCAACCTTGGCAACCTGAAGATGTGTGGACTTCAACTCCCAGAATTCTGGGAGTTGTAGTCCACAATCTTCAAGTTGCCAAGGTTGAGGAACCCTGATCTAATGGTCATCCAAAGAGTCAGTTGGGTGTAGCAGTTAAGGCATTTGGCTGGAAACTGGGAGACTGGGAGTTCTGGTCCCGCTTAGGCACAAAGCCAGCTGGGTGACCTTGGGCCAGTCGTACACTCTCAGCCCTAGAAAGCTAGCAATGGCAAACCACTAAGGAAAAGCCTTGCCAAGAAAACTGCAGGGACTAGTCCAGGCAGTGGCCAGGATTCAAAAACTGACTTGAAGGCAAAAGAAAAGAAAAGAAAAGAGAAAAGAGAAAAGAGAAAAGAGAAAAGAGAAAAGAGAAAAGAGAAAAGAGAAAAGA